TGCTGGGCTTTGTTGTCGCTGTTTCTCCGCGCTTGCAGAGGGCCTGGGGGAGAGACGAGGTGGCTTTGTCTAGCGCGGGGCCACATCGCTGCCTCTGTGACACGGAAGCGCAGCGCGGTGAGGGACTGGGCTGGGGGGGGAAGGGGCGTAGCAGAAATCGCCGTAAAAATGATACGAAGAACTGGTTTTGACTTCCTCTTCTTCCCCCCCCCCTTTGCAAAGCAAAAACACACAGATTATGTTTTGCGTTCAAAGTTACAGAGGAGGATTTTAGGAGAAGAGGTGGCGAAGCCATCGAAACGGGAAGCCCTGTAAAAAATTGCAGTCAAAGGAATTAAGGAGAAATGGTCGTGTTTAAAGCTGTCTTCTTGCCTTAGCTTGTACCTCGTAACAGAATTGTTACAATAATAACATATAGGCTTCTTTCTACAGACTGTGCAGAAATACCTGAGGTATCCTGGAGATGTCTTCTGGTGTCTTGTGAAGGCGCAGCCTTAGTTACTTGAAGATAGCTGTTAGTACAGGCTTTATTGTAATAGCGTCACCTTTTCCTGTCTCTTACAGAATTACACGAGAGAGAAAGATATAAACTCTAGGTAACTCTTAAAAGCTTATGAATGAGGTAGGAAAGTTGATGCTTAGAGAAAGATCAAGCTGACTTGGCTTGTCCAAGCATGCCTGTAGAAACATGCCTACAGAAAGGGTCTGTGATTTTTGCCGAGATAAGAATTCAAATGTTTTAGCATCAGTCTTGGTTCAGTCTGCTAGCCTAAAATGTGTTGCTGAATTTTGCGAACGTGGCAGTTCTAAACGATTAAACTAGAGAAAAAAATAACTGCTAGAATCTGAACTGCATTTGTAGGTTTTTGACGACCTGGAAGGTCTGCAGAGAAGGATGCAAAGACAAAGCAAAATAAAGAGAGAAAAAAGCTGCAAATGTCTGTTTCATATGGTTTTGATATAACGAGCTTGTTAATGACCAGCCTGTCTTTCCTAGTGGTGAGGAGGGGAAAGATGGGGGAATTGGTTGAAGGAGAACCGTAATGTGTTTCTGAAGAGGACAAACTTACTGTAATATGGTTAGCTAAAAATCTTAGGGAGCTGTTGCTGATACCTTGGGGGAGCCAGCCTCTCTCTTTCTGAAATACTGAGTAGCACCAACTTGGATGTTGGAATCGTAGTCAACTGTTCCCCTTAGTCTCCTGCTTGCTTGGGTGTATCAGCTTGGGCTGTTTCTTGTGTTCTTAATCATTCATGAAAGTGGAGGTGGGATGTAAGCAAAATATACCCTTCATTTTGATACTACGTGGCAAATAAGGTTCTTTGTTTTGTAGTAATTCTTTCCTTGCTACGTTCTTTTTCTTGCCATTACTGTGTATTGGCCAATCCGTAAAAATTCTTTCTTCCTGTTGATGTTCCCATGTTCCTTTCCATATCCCACCATGCCCTCTTATAAATATTCTCCGCTGTTCTGTAGAATCTCTTCATCCCTTTTCCTTTTATCTTGCTTCATCTCTCTAATTTTCATGGTTTTCTTGCTTCCCTATCATCTCTGTGCTGCAGAAGGCTTTCTCAAGTTGGTGCTCCGGTTTGGACTTGCTAGTCTGGTTGCATCTAGCAGTAGTGTGAAGAGAAGTGCTTGCCGACTGCTCCCGCTCTGTTAACAGCATTTTTATTGTTAGACAGAATTTTGCTGATACAAGCTCTATGTAAGGAGTGCTTTGTTATTATAGTACATACATTTGTATATATATGTATACGTTTGAATGGCTTTATATCTACTCCACATATGCAGGTTGGACCTCAAGATGGTCTGGATGGGGCAGGAGTATAATAGTGTGTAATCATTGACTCTGGAATAACAAATCTTCCTGTTTGATGGTGGAAACTTTCAAATATGTAATCATTTAAATAGCTACTGAAATGTTCAGTGTGCTTCCCTGGGAATATAGGGAGGAATTACTGTTAGTGACTTGAATCCTGGACTGCTTGAAAAAAAGGTTCCTGGGCAAGGGAGAACATAAAATGTGAAGCTATTTGTGTTATAGGTTTCAAGTTTGCCTTCTCTGAAGGAATTTATGAACTCTCATCTGAGGAAGCCCTGCTTCTGGGAGGTATGCCGAGAACAAATACCCTGGGAAATCTGCAGTGCTGTAACTAAGAACTGGAGTTATATACACAAGGCATGTCCACTTAATGGATTTGCAAGTATTTTTTTCTTATTTGTTTCAGCTAGAGTAAAAAGCTCTTGATAAGGCAAAGAGGTGATTTGCTCTAGTTGGTGTCAAAATATTTGAAAATGGACAAGTATCACAAACATTCTGCAGACTAGACGTTACCTGAAACCTTGTGTACTTCACAGGTACAATGAGTAGGGCTTTGAATTAAAGTTAGGATCAACCAGTAGTTTGAATATTTAGCCTTGCAATCCTGTTCCACCTTCCAGAAGACAGTTCTTCAAACAGGACTTTTTACCAATGTGTCCTATGTATCTCTGGCCTTTGCTCCCTGCCTGAATTAAGTGGCTCAAAATGCCAGATGCCTTCTGTCCTTTGGTGAAGTAATATTGAAACCACTTCAGGTGGGGCAGATAATACTTTCTACTAGGAAATACTCGTTTTGCCTGAGTGACTCAAGGAGTTATACTTTGTCTGCTTCCATTTTGTCAAGTATCTAGACTTTGCAGGCAATTTTAAATCTATCCAGGTTCATAGGGGGAGAAGCGTGTTATTGTGATATGGTAACTTAGATTCCTTTCCAAAAAGAAAATAAATTGCATACGTGAATATTAACTGGGAGAGGATTGGAGATGAGTCTAGAGTGGCAAGGTGGGGAGGATTAAGTCTCCTTAGTCTTCTCCTCATAAGGGTTCTGTGTCAGTGGAGAAATTAGGGCTATATTGGAATGGAAAGAATAAAGGCTCTTTCGCTTCTCTATTTTCTGTTATACTTTATGCTCTGCATCCTGCCCCTTTCTGAATTCTTTTGCAAGCTAGGATTTGGGGATCCTGATCAGAATGTGAGTTTGACGCTTTGAAGACCAAGGAATAAAATATGATTGTGCTTGACAACCATGCTGTAGTGTGGAAGAATGGGGGATGGCCACAGTACTTTGAGAGGTGGGTGACTTGTAGATTTAATGGAAGCTTGGGGCTTTGCTGGAGTATATGGCTATGTAAATAAAATTACTTTTGACCTGGTGCAGCTTTGCCAGAGTACTCCAACTAATTTTTTCCTTCGCTGTCACTTTTTTTTTATATTAAAGAAAACAGATGAGACTGACTTTGTACTAATGATTCTAAAGGCTCTAACCAGCTGCAAAACAGCAGAGTTAGGGTTATTTTGGCATATACTCAAACTTTTTGCCATATAGCTTTCAGAAACCTGAGTTCTTACCTGGATTCTGAAGTGGTGACTATCTTTCTATATTACTATTACTTTCTTACTGTTACTACTGATGGCTTCTAATAGCTTCTGGTACAATTCTCCTAAAAGGATAGAACAAAAATCAGCGGCTCACCTAACTCCGATAGCAACTGTATTATGTTGAGCCGCTATGTTGTTCTGAAGAAACAGACGTAACTTGAAAGTGCTTGTATCTTGTTTTATACATAAGAGCCCATGTGCATTAGAAACCTATGGGGGGGGGGGGAAAGTTGTGTATCTGTATTGATTCCTTGACTACTTGATTCCTCTGGTTATAAGCCTTCCTTCTCGATGCAAGTGAAAACGCAGCCCAAATCTGGGGTTTGAGGATATGGAATGGGGCAGATAGTTGAGACAACGATGCTTGTAATCTAATTTTTAGTGTACTGCTATTGTATACTTGGTAAAGGCCAGAGCTTTTGGTTTGCAACTGGGAGTGAAAGAACACAGTCAGTGTAAATTCTGGCAAATTGAGTAAGACGCCTAGCTTGAATAGATTGAAGTCGATCTATTCTTGAGGTCAAAAATTCTTCCCGGGATTCTCAAGCTCTGAGAATTTTCTGATGTCTCTCCTGGGGACAGAACTAGAGTATAGCTGCAGTCGGTTCCTAAATGATAGAAAATGATCTCTAAGTTCATGCCTACACATAATAGGAATAAATGTCATAGTTCTGAATGTCTAGAATCAAGATTTGTATCCATGCTGCTGCTTCCTCATCAGGAAAGTGCTGGTTTCCCTCTACAAGAGAAGACTGTAAAAATATCAGGCCTAAAAATGACCTTGGCACATTGGCAGGAAACATGCCTTCATCTCCTTCCAAACTTGTCCTCGTTTGCAGGTATCCTAAGGATTTGCCAGCTTGCACTGCTTTATTTGGATAATTATATTAAAAAAGCACATACCAGATTTCAAATCTACCTGATTCCGCTCAAACATCAAGCAAAATCCTAAAAATAGAACAAATTTATTCTAGCAGAATAAACATGCAAAAGTGGAAATAGTCACAGAAGAGTAAAGCCAACAAACCATGCTTTCTGGGTGTGTGCGAGACACTTCGAGTTCTTTTGTAACTGTGACGTAAGGTCTCTTGAGTTGTATTGCAGTTGAAGAAGCTGACGGAATGATTCAGCAGCATTTTGTGTGTTTGTGGTTTTTTTTTTTTTTTCATTAGTGCCTTTCAAAACAGAAGTCTAAAATTAGCACAGGGAATGGGAGTTGAAGTTATGGTCCAAAGTTTTCTGTGGGGCAACTGTTTCTCTGAGCCTGCTCTTGTTCCTTTTGTAATAGCGTGTCTCCATTTTAATTTCCATCCTTCCGTTTCATGACCTTCAAGGCCATCGTGTTTAATTTTATGAATTTGTAATAGGTTCATCACCAGTTCTTTAAAATGTTAAAAGTGCTTTTAATGGAAATTTAAATACAAAATGTCATACATCTACTATTTAACTGGAAGCTTGTAAAAGGTAAAAGCAAACTGGAGACCAATGTGGTGTATGCGTAATAGATACGATAAGCTTGGCATTTGTGTGCCTCAGCTTAGTTTTATGACTTTCATTAAGTTTTAAAACTGGAAGGTGTCAGAGTATCTAGCAGCCATTGTACAATAGCATTCTGCTTTCCTAACCAAGGTAGGAATTGACTGCCAGCTGGACATGCTAGTGCCAAAACAGCTGTTCCGTCAGTAGGCATTACTGATTGTTGTGACTTTAAAAAAGTATTTTTTTTAGAAATGGTGCAGAGAACTGAATAGCAGGATTTAACTAACTCTAGATTTTGGGACTGAAGAAGAAATAGATACTGATTTAAAAACCTGAGCTTCTGCTAGTCTTGAAACTTTCTGCTCTCTCTTAAGCCCGAAAGAAACCATGTAAATCTTTGCCAACACTCCTTTACCGTTCAGTAACAACCTTGAAGCAGCCAGTTATTTGAAAGTCTTATAGTTGATTAGGGACATAAATTTAAATCGGGAGGTTAGGGCCTGTTGTGGGTAACGGTTCTCAACTACGTGAGAATTGAAGCAGGCTTCTACCTTCCTGCGTTCTTTTCTTGCTAACTCATTGTGGGTTTGTCCAAGGCCAGAAAGCAAAGAGAATTTCAAACTATCCCTTCTCTCCAAGTTAGTCTCTTTGATAATGCTTTTGTGCTGATTTAAAGAGGAAAATAATATTTGTTAACCAATTCTTAGTATGCTTGGATTTGTAGTATTGTGTGAATAAGCACGTTGTTTCTGGCAGTAGAACTAATTAGCGAAGCCTAGCTGCTTGTGGATGTATCCTGGTCATCTTAAACTTCACTGCTCCTGATTGTGTCTCCTAATACTCGCCCTAGGCAAGATAACACGTGCTGTGAGCTACTGGTCAACTGGCTACTGGTGAACAACGTGTGATGACTGAGTGGGGACATAAGTTAGGCCTTTCTCCAAAGGCACCTTTTTCTTTGTCTTTTCACACTACCTTCAAAACTGTTAGAAACTTAGCCTTATTTGGAAAAATCTGCTCTTTTGCCAGGTCTGAAACTCAAACAGGTAGAATAGTCCTCAGAGGAGATGAATGGAAGAGGGATGATTGCCTAAGCTGAAGATGAAAAAGGCTAACTGGCACACAGATAGGAGGATTGTTCCACTAATAACTGGAATATTTAGTGTTTTATCCACAGCAGACTGTAAGCACCTTATGGAAGGAGGAACTGTTTATGGAAGGAGGAGCTACAGAAGTGAAAGTTTACTATATCCTAGCATGCAAGTGGATGAGAGTTTCCATGACTCTTTTTAATGCTTCAGGCGAATAACTCTGTCTTAGCAGGCAGATAGGTGGGTGGCTGGGTGTGAAATACTTTTTTTTTTTTTTTTTGAGTTTTGAAAGTTCCCCCATGATGTAGTGTTATAAATCAAGCAGTAGTTTCTTTTGACATAGCTTCTCAATAGTGATACTAACACAACTGTGCGGGGAAAGGGTTTTATAAATTTTCAGTGGGAGGTCTTGCTGCAAGTAGTCAATTTTCTGTATCTAAAAAGGGCGTCGTGGTAGTACAGCTTCAGCTTTTGGGATAGGAAAACCCCTTTCTTTTTCTTCCTCTACTTTCTCTCTGAAAGGAGCTGGCTTGTAATTTAGTTTCACCTTTTTCTCAGAAGTGTGAGTGAAAAGTAGGCTATAAAACCGTGATTTGTCAGGAGTATATAGCAGTGTTAGTACACAAAGTAAGAACTGTTCAAATAAATATGGCTTAGACCAGGAAGATGTGAGGTGACATTTTTAACAAGGAGATCTGTTTGTCATTTATTTTATAATGCTCTTAAGTTAGATGTTTCTGGGACAATACTGGAGATGCTTCCAGACAAAACTGAGTGAAGCTCTAGCCAAAGGGGATCTTTGGTTTCTACTAGTCGGTCTTGACAAGATCTTATCTTGTTTGGCCATACTAATGTGTTTAAAGTCTTTTTTTGGAATCAGTTTTGTTTTCATATGGATTGAAGGCTTTCAAGTTTTAATATAATGGAAAATCCTTTGGTTCTTTGCTCCCGGATGAGTCCCAGAGTGTTTGTTAACAAAGGCTTGTCATGAGATCTCATTAAATTTTAAATATGTAAGTATTAACTTATTTAATATAATTTAATATTAATGTATTTGAATCTCTTTTTTTCCTGTTCACCTCTCCAATCTAGTTGTGCTGTGGATTCTGATTCAATTTAATTGGATGTGCCTCTCTTGGTATTTCCTAGACTGTCTCTAGCTATGGCTAAAATTTCTGCCCTGACAAATAAGGATTATCTGTTTAAGGATTAGCTGTGTTAAAACTTCAGCAACTTCAAGATGTGAAATGCTTATAACTTGCCTATTCTTGCCTAGCATCGGCATCCTATCTCACTGGGGGAATGAGGAGTAAAGAACCTTGAAAAAGGTGCATCTGTTGGAGTTTTTTTTTTCCTGCATTTGAGAGTTTCATAATCTGAATAGCGTGTTCTTTACTATTAAACTCTAGGTAAGGTCTGCTGTGCATGAAAAACATAGAGATTTTCCTGTAACTTTCCTCCCTGATCTTAACTGAAGAGGCCAAAAATATCATCAAAAAAGATTGCATTTTCTACTGTGCTGACTGACCTTTTTTCCCCCCCCCACCAACAGGAACAGGAAATACAGTGGTGATAATGGTTGGTTATCCGAAAGGAATAGAGATATTGGAGCCAGTACGAAGAGGGATTCCAGTAAAAATGAGTATCGTTGTTGGTACACGACACGTACAGGAGTATATTAGTGGTCAGTCGGTTGTGTTTGTAGCCATCGCCTTCATCACCATGATGATTATATCACTTGCTTGGCTCATATTTTACTATATACAACGTTTCCTGTATACAGGATCACAATTTGGAAACCAGGTAATTAGAGACGATGCTTTAACGCAATAGTGTTTGCAGTCTTCTCATGTCAAATTGTTTTCCTGACTTTGCTTGTTTATTGAAGTATTCTTGAAGATCTGTGTTTTCTTGCTACTGCGTTATCTGTGAACAGCATTCAATAGTGTTTAGTAAGGCTAATAAGTAGTGTGCTAATGGGTATCACAAGTTTGGCTAGTTGTAATTATTAGATACTTGTACAAAATAGTGGGAAATACATTTAGCCAGTTGTGAACAACTGAATAAAGGCACTTCTTGTGTGATTTGTCATCTTAGTTAATTTAACTTCAAAAGGAAGGAGTTATTTTCATTCTTAAGAAATTTTCATTCTGAATGTACTAACTTCACTAACCAGGGTGTTGCTTACTCTTTTATTTTTTTTTTTAATGAAGATTGATCATGGTTAACAGTGTATTTAATAGGACACTCAAGTAATTGGGCCTAAGATTTTTGATTCTTTGAGAATCACTTTGGGACTTACAATCCCATCACTCCACCAGCGTAGAGTATTCCGTGGTCGTCAACAACTATGCCATAGTTCTCAAGTCACAATGAAACAGAAAGCTGCACTTGGTTTTCTTTGCAAACAGCTTCTTTCTTTCTTTTAACCTCAGTTTTGTACCAAAAAATAGTTTCAAGTGACTATTTATGATTTGGACTTTCCATGCCTTCTGTTTGGATGTGTAGGTTCTAACTAGGTGGAAGGAGGGAAGGGAGAATAACAATTTGTGGTCGACTTCAGGCGCCTGAGCTGTGTAATTTACAGGACTCTTCTAGGAAAACACTTAATTCCTCTTTTCAACAGCAGAAGATAACACATAAGGCATTCATAATGATTAAAACTGCAGTCTGTTTAAAGATGCTTGTTTTGATACCCTATATTCTTTTTAATGAAGCTTTTAAGTCTTAGAACTTAAACAGTCTCAGAACATTTTCAAAAAAAACTCACAGAATTTTGAAGAAATATTTATAGAAGAAGGGATGGTTATATCTGTTGTAACACCTTTGGTGAAGAAAGTTGCCTCTTTCTGTTATTTTAGCTTTAGGACGGTTACAGAATGTTCAAACTCTGTAAAGAGTTTAAGAGCATTTTATAGCTCGAATGTGATGTTTCCCAAAAAATCATGTCACAAAGAACAAAGTTTGCCGTTTGGTTTGTCCTTTAAGTAATTTTTAATTTAATGAAATTATCTAGCATTAGAAGGCTCTGCCGCTCTCCTCTAGTTTCCCTCTTGTGAAACAGCTGTTTAAAAAAAAAAAAAATTTAAACCCACCCCCCCCCAAAATGCAGTTTTCCACAGACTAGGTTTTAAATCTAGTTTGGGCCCATTGGTCAAGATACAATATTAGATGTTTAAAACATGGGTTAGAAAAATTTAGCTTAGCAGTAAGACTCCGGTGTAATAAAAACTTAGAAGGCAGTTAATGAAGCTTTGCTTTAAAGCAGGCTACTGTATATCTGGTAAGTGAAGCTGAAAATGTGTGTCTTATGAGTTGTCCTACTATTAATTTAGCAGTAAATCTTTGGAAGAACTCCTTGTTACCAAAGATGAAACAGGACTGTGCAGAAAATCCTGAGCTGCTGTAGAAGGTGGGATAGACTGCTGCCTGGTTAAATTTGTCTATTTTTGAGGGTACTTTAAGATTAATTCTAATTTTTTTTTAAGAATAAAAAACCAAGTTTGAAGGATATAAGTCACTGTAATCATCATCAAAGAGAAAAGCTGCTATTATTATTATTTTCTGATTCCTTAAATGGTAATTCATCAGTGATGTGGGTTGATGCTAGACAGATCAAGTTGAGTGTGATGAGTTCCTCAACTTCTAATGGTAGCTATCACTTAGTCTTAGAATGTAGTACCTCTTCATTTTCTCGCTTCCCCTCTAAGCATAATTGAGACTATTAGTTTATAGCTGTCCAATATGATGTCTCATGTCTCTTAGGCCTGCCTTTCTTTTTATCTCCTTTGCGTAGCGTGTCCTTCAGTAGAAAGCTTTGTACAACGTCTGACAGTGTTTAAGCTGAGGGGAGGTATTAATAGCAACAACAGCCTTTTGACCTTAAGCCCTGATAACTAGCTATAGACTCTTGGGCGGGATTCCCCCTTTTCTCAAGCTCCTGTAAAATGTATCAGTGTGCTTGCTCATTGCTTTGACTAACTAGAAGGTCTGGTTATACTACTGTTGTTTCAGCTCTGATTGCGTCTAAAGAGTAAATTAGTTTTAATTTTCTTGAGTGGGAAGTTCCTTAATGCGGGTAATTAGTGTACATGACTACGTGTGTCAGCCTTGTCTGCATTGTTCTGCACAGTTTAGTTCCATTGTTAAGCAGTGTGTTTACAGATAATGTTTACTAGCGTGTCCTAAGAATGCAGAACGTGATGTACCTCGACATCTGTTGGCTGGAAGTGTTTTGTAAACATATTACCTAGCCAAATTGTTAAATTTTCTGGATGCATTCAGAAGAGTTAGTAATCTACATGGCAAGTGGTTAAAAAATGAGTGATTTGAAATATCACTCTTAAAACTAACTTGTGCACTAATATTTAAAATTGTCTGGCTTTATTCAAGGGACATAGGAAAGAAACCAAGAAAGCAATCAGCCAGCTTCAGCTGCATACTGTGAAACGTGGAGACAAGGTAATTCAGTGGCTTTAGTTATTGATGTATGATTTGAACACTGCTGTAAAGTCATCTTTGTAGAATTTAAACTAAAATGCTTGCAAGATTGCCCATCGGGAACGCGACCCTTATAACCTCTGATTTCAATGCCTTTGCTTAGAAGGCCAAGTTCAAAATTGAAGAGTCAAACTCGGACTATTTCTAAAATGTAAGGCTAGTTTGTTGCAAATAATATCTAATTATGTAGAACATGGCAGGAGACTAAAAGAGGCTGGTACTGTAAACATGAGAAAACGCTAGTATTTTATCAGCACTAGCAAACAACAAGTGAATTACAAAATACTTCCTAGGACCTATTGATTGCAGTTTTTACAGCTGAGGTAATGTTTTATTTTCTTTTTAAATAGAATACCACTTTTTATTGATTAGAAAGCTTTAGAAATATAAGAAGCTATGAAAAATAAAATACTCGTTTTATCCCTTTTTGACATATAATACATTAAGGAACTTACAGACTTGCTTGAAGCAGAAATTAAAATATTTCTCTATATTAAAAACTTTCAGGAAGTTGTACTGAATTTTTAAAATAGATAAGTTTGACAGCTTCTAAAGCCTAAACTTATTAAATCTAAAATAATTATGAAGTAGAAAAGGCCTAGGTTTTGAAAGAAAGTAATACTGTTTTAGTCAGTGTTTCAGGCAGACGCCACATTCTAATTTCAGATGCTGAATTGGCTTCTGACTGCAGACTTCCGCCAGTGCACAGATTTCTCCACGCTCCCACCCCAATTGGCTTACTTGATTAGGTTTTAGTTAAGGATTGACTTGCTCAGAGACCAAAAAACAGTTTGTGTTTTTTTTCTTCTTTCAATCCATGAATAAAACTAAGGTGAGAAAGGATACTGAAGTTTTTAAAACAGGACTGAAAAAAAGCAAGTGGACTTAGGTCGCGGAATACTAGAATGTTTCCTTCGTTTATTAAATCAGTTTTAAATTAAAAGAAAAACTCTTTGATTTGTCTTTTTCCCCTTATGCATTCAGAATGTTGAACTATTTGTTAATCTTTCTTATTTTAATTATATTCTAAATTCCAATTAAGTATAATCTATGTCAAGCTATGAATAGAGGAATATTTATGCTTCTGTGCAGGGCACTGATGAGATCAAGAAAGATGGAATTGAACCAAAATATGTGTAAAGTAGCATCAAAGTATAAAGCAGCATAGGAAAAAATGGGTGTAAATAGATTATGATGAAATCTGTGATGAGGGCCATAAGGAAGCTGTTAATGGCTTTTAAGCTGATATTCAGTAAACCTTTAAAAAGGATTGTGAGATTGTTTGCAGTGTACCAGGTAGTTCCTTCCCATCTATATACCCTTAAGGGGGGAGAAGGGGAAGTGGATTTTAAGTTGTTATACAGTGTATTGATTTTAACTATGAATGCCATGCTGGTTTAGCAAAGTAGAATGAAATTAGATTAAAATCTATAAAATACAGGTTTTATGCTTGGTGGATTATGTTCTGTCACTTGGTTTGAATCAGCCTGCTCTCAGCAAATTTATGTAACTTACTGACGCAAATGTACTTTCGTGAACTGGTGTGAATTCCTCTGAAAATAGTCCTACCTACTCTATAAAGGTACATTTTTCTTTTAAGTATTTCCTTTTATTCAGTCATTGATTGAAAGAGTATATTGCTTCTTTTTAGTTATTGTGACACAGTACAATCTTTCATTATTTCACTCAGCGTTGAGGCATTTAACTAAAAATAGGTCAACCTTAAAAAGTGTATTTGCTGTCATCTAGGTCTTTTCTGAGAAGCTTAAGGGATTATTGTAAAATGGACACTTACTCGATTATGTGTTGCATACAGTGTGCTTGGACTTTGCCTCTTGTACAGAATGAAAAACATTTGCAGTAGAATAAATACAGTTTTTTTCACTGCTTATGTAAAAACCAATCTTAATTTGACTTATATAGGAGTTTAAATCATTAATTATATAAATTGATAGCATACAAAAAAACAAAAAAATTGGCTTTGATCTTGAAAGCTTCCTTGTAGTACTAATTCATATGGACATTTGCAGTAATGATATTAAAACTGTGCAGTGAGCAGCAAACACAAAGTATTTATTTTGTAGAGGATGAGAAGGGAGTTGGCCTGCTCTCTCTTGTTCCTCTAATACTTGTTTTTAATACAACCCAATTAACACTGAATTATTTCTCCTGTATCAGGATATATTTTTTCATCTATCACCTGGTATGTATGTGTGTATAACTTGTTAGGAAAGAGGTATAATCCTTTGAAAGAAACAAATTGTAGTCAAAACACCCCCGCCCACCTCCAAAATGATAGGCGCTTGGAGAGGAATTCTAAAAATCATGCAAAATTCTTTACTTCCAGTCTCCTCTAGCCTCCCAAGGCTTTTTACTAGGATGCAAAGAAGAAAGAAAAATGTGAGGAGAGGAAGGTTTGTAGCATTCGACCCCTAGAGTCTCTTCGTACTTGAGCACTTGCAAGCCTTTGGGACCATCAGTTAAGAATTAGATGATGTCCTTCTGTCTCTGTAGGCCTCTCAAACTTTCTTAACGTCGTAGTGATGTTAAACTAAAGTTTTGTTGTGCTTCCATGAACGCAGCCAGTGTTCGCAACTTTACGTGGTGCCTTAAGCCACTTGTTTGTTGTATAAATCAGAAAATCAGAGTTTGGCTGGTTTTAATCTTTGGTATCACTTGATCAAATCTCCTTTTGATGGAATCACAGAATTAATCTTAATTTAAGTGAAGAAGCAGTTTTTATTTGCTAGACCATTCTATACCACATACCCTTGTGAAGTTATCTATGAGACATAGCTTGTTACTATAATGACATGAATATAATTCATCTAAATGTGTTGTCATCTTTAGGGTTTAGATGTTGATGTGGAAAACTGTGCTGTATGCATTGAAAATTATAAACTGAAAGATACTGTCCGAATTCTGCCGTGCAAGTAAGTTATCATAATTCTCTCCCCTTTACCATGCTTTCCCTAAAAAAAATACTCGGTGAGCTTCCTGGAAACTCCTCTGAAACTTTGGTGGCAGAGTTACATACAGAGCTGGAGCTGGTTACATGTTAGAGGGCTTTGGGAGACTGCATGGTATTTCATATTGGAGGAGGTAGTAGCAATTGATAGAAGTGTAGGAGCAAAGTAAGGCCGCCTTAATAGTAAAAGTTTGAACTGTAGACTGTTGAACTGCTAACTCAGTGGGCTTTAGTAACACATTTCTTCCTTAAGAAGAAGGCTAATGTGAAATTAAAGACTTAGTTACGTCTGCACTAGTGAATTAAAAAGTGCCTAAACACATTCCTGCATACTGGAATGCTGCTAAGTTATCAGTACGTTATCTGCTATGCTTTTGCCCCTTGCCAGCGTGGCGTTCTCCCAAACAATTCCCAGGTGTAGTTCGGGCACTAGAACATCCCAGGGATAGTTGGGTTGGGCGGTTCACCTGTCACCATCTGTTTTGGAAGCCGGGTTTGCTAGAATAGCCATGGGTGACTCTAAAGATGAGAAAATATCCCCAACATTTCAGCGTATCTTAAATTAAGAATCATAGGAAAACACTGCTATGCATGTGATGTCATGGACTTTTTGAGCTTTAAAATGGCTACTCTTAGATGTATAGCAGCTATTTAATGAATAATTTTTAGAGCTTGCTCACTAAAATGCTGGCACTGGCTGTGAACAGTTAATGATGCAAGCCGTGTGCATGGTGGTTCTGTTGGTTAAAATTCTGAGGAATTATATTTTTCATCCTGTCTCAATTGTTACAACTTTTTTTACGCGGTAGCCCTTTTCTTTAATCACTTAAACTGCAAAATGATTCTTTAAGAATATTAATAGAACTACAGGATAATTGTCAAGATCGTGAAGGAGTTGGTTTACCTCTTAATGTAGTAACTTCACATATGTCATGAAGGAATGCTGTTGTTTGTCTTTTAATGTTAAGCTCTAATGAGTATTTGTTTTCTTTAGGCATATATTTCATAGAACGTGCATTGACCCTTGGCTTTTGGACCACCGAACTTGTCCAATGTGTAAACTAGACGTTATTAAAGCTTTGGGATACTGGGTATGTTACATACTTACTTCAGGCACAATGTGAGAAACAAGACTTCATCTAACCGTTCAGAATGTGAGAACAGTTGTTACTTGCCTAGACTGAAGAAGCTGAGCAAAGATGCAAGAGTCATCGAGTGAGAACCAGAAAAACAGGGGAATTTCATAAGTAACAGCTTAAACAGTGTATTGTACAGTTTGCTAATCCTTCATCCTTACTCTTCTGTAATAACCAAATTTTTCTATCCCCAGCTGACAGTGGTGATGAAGTTAAGGCAGGGGTGAGACAGTTTGCCTAAGCTGCACAAATATGGTTTATTTCAGTAGATCTAGAACATACATGCTGTCTTGTTGAGAGCCGTGGTTCAAAGGAAGAAATCACAAGTCTCTAACTTGTGTTTATGTATGCTTCTACCTGTGCCAAATGTTATATCTTTGTAAATGAACCAGTACTCAGAACCTACCTAAAGACTCTCACCAGGACTTACATAAGTAGAGAAAATGATGTGCTTTCATTTCTTTGACAGCACCAGAAAAGAGAGATGAAGACGCATGCGGTAGGTTACTCAGTCGCTGTTGATAAATAGTCTTGAGTTCCACTAGAATGCCATAGGCATGAATGTACCTCTTTTCTACTGATCTATAGAGATCCTGAGAAAATAGTGGCGCTCCTTGGTGTTGGGTACCTTCCTTTCATAGACTACGTGTGCATTTTGACCAGCTGTTCTCTTGTTTGGTGAAAGAGACTTAGCAGATCTATGTGACTTTTCTTCTATGACTCGCCATTTAATTTTTGTCAGAGGTGGCAATACTCTTGCTATGTAAGATAATATATACTAGATTGTGGCAGGTCTGTGTATCAAGTCTGACTCTATGTAGGAGTTGTTGTTCCACGAGACCAAAAAGACTACTATGGTTACATTAATACTACTGTGTTAGTAGCTTAGTTTTTGCTTATTTTCAGTTCTTAAGAGTTGATCTAACTTTTGTTATATGCAAAGGGATATATTCTTTTGTGTGTGGTCTGAATACTGAAATATGTAGACCTTCAGAACATCCTTTCTCTTCCTTGAATTCAGATTGTTGCAGGGGATGCTAATACCAAGCATAATCAAGAGGAGTAATACCTCCTCTGCTTTTTAGGAAAAATGCATATTGGAAGCAGGTCAAATTGGATTATATTATATTAAATACAGAAGCCCATTTTTTCCTTATGGAATGGGGGAAATGAGTTTGCTTAAACATCAGACAATCAAGCTCCACTGAAATTGGTAACGTGTGAGATCATTCAGTATTTTATCTAGTTTAGCTTTCAGCTTGATTCAAGTTGCCCGGTCTGGTTCATAGACTGATTATGTGAATGTTTTACTGACATGAGAAGAGTAAGTGTGAAGGAAGAACAAAGACAGCTTCTTTTAGTGGGGAGCCCGCTGAGTGACATAACTGCAGCCAACAATGTGCAGCCTTATTATACATACCTGTCAAACTTTCTGCAAAGAGGCTGAAGGCTGAATTCAATTTTATGGAAAACAGAAATATTTATATGCTTCGAATTTTAAAGCTTAAAGTAGGAAGAAGGCAGTAAACTCTGTTACCTGGCTTTTGGTTTGTAAACAAGGGACTTCAGTGATCTAGTTCTGCATTGTGCTATTTCTTATGAAAAAAAGAGAATGGGAGTTCAGCATGTCAGACTTTCAGCAGTGCTCTCCTAAATCAATATCTTGCAACTTCAATGCTTACTTAACTGCCTGGAAACCAAATTTTTTTGAAAACTGAAACCATTAACTCCCATACATACCTCTTAACAAAGCCTGGAGATTGTCATGTGTCTTGTGTTTAAATGTAGCTGTTCTATAACTTATTAAAAAGCCTAGAAGTTTGTAAATCTTAAGGAGATGGGAGTTTGCTAATTGTTCTGGGCAGGGGAGGCTATTCATTATAAAGCCTGAGGAAGAGTTGCTTCGTACTGCAGTATACTTGCCTGTGTATAAATATCATTACATTAAAGTCATTAAAAAAACCCCCCCCCCCCTTTAGAAAGCCATTGCCATTAATGTACTTGTAGGAACAGAATTGTGCATGTAAGACTTCTCTGATACATTCTGAGAGCTGGTTTTAGTGAAGTAGTTCATGCTAGGTAACGGCTGAAATAAATCCCTTTGCCTACGTTGCAGATGTTTTATTCCTGCAAACTGAGGAGCCGGCATCTTCTTTTTTTGGAAGAGTTTAAGGATAGGCTATAGGAAGAAGAGGACGGAAGTTTGTTCTGGTGTCAAAAGTCTGCCCCAGTAAAAATGAAATCTATCCAAACTTGCCAACCTAATATCATGTAAAAAAGCAGTTTGTACATACTCAGTTCTGTAAAGGATCAGCAGGTTTGCTCAGTGAAGACCTTGTCTGGGCTGAGCGTGATCCTGTCCAGACCGCAGCAATATGGTTGCTAACAAGTGTTGAGATACTCCCTTCTGAAGGCTAGCTAAGTAGACTCCTACAGTTGTTGTTCTCAATTTATCGAGTTTATTTGGAGTTGGACATTAAAACTGTGAACAGACGCTGCTCAAATCTGTCCCCATGAGGGCAGAAAAACAGATAATCCTTTTCCCAGTAAGGTCAGATTACAAAGTGGTAAAATGGAAGACCGTTGATTTCTAATGATGGACCAAAGTGTCAATTAATGTACTTAATTTTGAAGGGGGACCCTGAAGATGCGCTTGATGTTCCAATACCGGAATCAATAAGTGGCAGTGTTTCAGTTGGAAGTCTGAGTATTGCTTTACAAGAAGAGGATAGAAATGAAGTAAGCGAATTGTCTGCCTCTTCCACTAATGAATCTGTATTGCAATGTACCAGTTTGAAAGAGGATGCAGGTGAAACCACAGCATTACTTGGTAAGTAATAATGCAGTGTATCACTTGACAAGCCTTAATGCCATTAATTGGGTTAGAAGCAGTAGCCTTTCTCTGAGTGTTGTTAGTAGTCTTAATATTGCAGTGCTGATGAGATTGAGTGGTGTTGCTACTGATATTCAAAACGTACAAGCAGGCAGATTTTGAGAGACTCTCACCAAGCTGGAGAAGACTGGACTTGAGAGGAAAAAAAGATATAAAGAATGCTTTGGGAGGATTACTCACCTGGAGAACCTTGAGAGCCTTAGATACATCTGAGATAAGATTGCTTTAGATTGCTTGATTTGCTTGAGATAAGATGAACTTAACAGAAAACGTGCATCGAAATGGTAAATCAACAAACAATTTGTCTTCTGATTCCTGACTTCTAGATATGGCTGTCAGTAATAACCGGCATGGAGAACATCTGTCTAATGGAAATTCCCACTGAACTGCTTCATGGAAGAGATCTTGAACAGACTGTTAAAGAACTATTATTTTTATTTAATTAGTATGAACTTTTGTCTAGTTAATGGCAAATAACAATGTAAATTATTTTACCTTTCAAACTTTTCTAGCTGGTATTCCAAAAGGGCTAATAACTTAGAATTTTGTACAAAAGAGGATTTTATAAAATCTCCTCTGGTTGTCTCATCCTAAAAAAAGATGCAATAACCCTTTTTCTGTGAGCATTATTACAATGTCATTGTGTTCCAGAGGGCTGTAACAAAGATGAAGACTAGGCAGTGAAAACAATGTGGAATGTCTAATGGATAAATACTTTGGATGCACTATTTACATTCAGTACATACACACAGAGAACACTTACAAGACTACAACTATTAAAATGTTCTGAAAGTTCCGATCTGTTGTAATTGGAGATAGATGTTCTTAGAAAAGGCACAATCTAAGGATCATTTGGAGGAGGCAAATAACTCAAGGATATGTTACATATCCTTTTTCATGATGAAAAAAATAGTTGCAAAATTCCTTATATGTAATAAATACTAATTTGATCTTGTAATGTGTTCCACTCGGAGTGGATGCTGAGAGAAAAGGAGACTTTCTCCATCTCACTAGCTTTTTATACTGAATTTGGCAGTAATAGGTTGTGCTAGGGGGTCTTAACGTGCTGAGCATGTAGACTTATTTAGGTATATGCACACTGGTTACCTCTTTCGATCTTAAACTCAGTAGAACAGAGGTAAAGGGCTAATTATGGCTAAAAGTATATTTATTAGTCTATTTATAAGATTTTACTGAACTCCTTCTTACTCCTGCTCCCATCCTATCCCACTTCTTTAGGTACAAGTTGGAACCATTTCTCAAGATCTTGTATGAAGTGTGGAAGTTTTTTTTGTCTATAGATGCTAGAATTCTTCTCTTGTCGGTTCCATATTAGGAGTTTTGACTGGGTTTATCATTAGCTTTTATTCCTTTCTTTTGCATTAGCAGTATTGTGCCTTATAGTAAAACATTTATTAAACCTGAAGCATCTGAGAGTAAATATAAACCCTGGCATCTCCCATTATGACCTCTTATTCAAATATTTATATACTGTAAGTGGTATAAGGAATTGCTAAACTGTTTTGTAAAGAGATATGTATATTTAAAACACTACTTACCAAGAATGCTAAATGAATTGCTTAGGATTTTAGTATTGTCATGTTATAAATGTGCGACATTCCTCAGTTTTTTGTAAAGCTGTTATTACAGATTGTTTAAAACAGTGTCTCTTACTAGACACTTGCTTTAGTGTGCATTTTGTTTCTTAGATGTATATTTGGAATGTTTTTAAGAAAATATGCAATTCTTTTTCTAACTTATATTGAGCTTCAATAGAAGCAATAACTTTTTTTTTAATTTTAGAATGAATGTTCCAGAAATGAGAGGTTTCAGCTGGGGAAAAAGAATTTGAATTTGTATTTTGCAGAGCAGATGTTTCATCCTAGATTTTCTTCAGAATATTCTTATTAATGCCTACTTAACAAAAAATCTGCCTCTTCCCAGTAGGAGTTTTATTTTAGGTTTACTGGAAAATTGTCAGGTTGTAGTTTTCTGATGTCACCAGCAGGTGCAAGTTTTTGTGATGCCTTTATCTTATGAGAAGCACATGAGAATGGAATGTGACTGACCAACCATCTCCAAAACTGGAGAGAAAAAAACCCCGCAACTAAACCAAACAATGTATAGGGACCTGTCTGTCTCCAAAAGAAGCTTATCAACATTTCCAGAAACTGCCTTTTTAACTTGCTCTTCAGTATGAAAATTAAGTCTTCTCCCTCTTCCTTAACACAAAACTGAACATTGATATAGTCTATGTTGAGAGGGTTTAAACTCTAGCTCAATGAGGAGTCAAAAGCAGTTATCAAGAGAAGCCTTGTCAATCTGTGGATCATGTCTTGCTGATACCTGCACCACAGTATTCATGCTGGAGGGGAGAAATGTGGTAAGTACTTCAGCTTTTATATAATACTTGTAAAAGCAAAATCTTTTAAAGAATCTGAGCCACAATCTGACAGAAATCAGGTAGTAAAGCTAAAGACCCCGCAAATCAAAAAGTGTACTTATAAAATCTAAAGCATAAGTAATGCTTAATAGTACTGGTTTAGAAAAATGCCCAAGTATGAAATTCCTGGAATATGTTTTTAATGATGACACTGTACCTGTCTGTTTCACTCAAACTTTCTGAAGAAGAGTTAGTTGTTTCAGTTGAACTGATTTGCATCACAATTAATCTCTGACAACAGCTAGGTCTTGTAAGACCTGCTGCGCTGCTGAGGAATGATGACAATAAAAGGCCGAATTGCAGTGCTTCCAAAAGCAGTTTGCTCTCCGTGGATGCACGATGACAAAGTCCTCTGAAGCGAATCATTAGTCTGACCTCAGTAAAATAGCCACCTGCATTAGCAAAAAGAAAGTGGTAGAAAAAAGTATAGGAAAAGACAGAAAAATCTATGGAACTTCGAACAGTAACAAAGGATGATTAGAAACATGAAGCGTGTCATCTACTGTTATAGCTCTAATAGATAACTTTTAGAGTAAATGGTTGTAAGCAGCTATAGGTTCCCAGATCGTGCTGATCTAGGCCTACTATGTTGCATCAAACTAGCATTTCTAGCTTCTAGCCCTTTAACTCCCAAAGGTTTATGAGGATCAGAACTGAAGAAGCTTTTTTCCTGTGGGGGTGTGTTGGGGAAGGGGGCGGGTTGGTGTTGTGACTCCCTTTCCCCTGCCTGAAGAATGTATAATCGGCCTCTTCTGTTTAGGTTATTTGCTGCCTAATGTCAGAGTTCGTGCTTGCTCCTCACCCTGCCCTGGGGTCTTTCCTCTCTTTCTATCCGCATATTTTTCAGAAAACGTGCGGGAACTTGTCTCTGAGATCTCTGTCCCTCTGTCAGATTTTGTTGATATCAGCCAGAAGGGCTCTTTCTAGAGACTTGTATGTGGTATGATTACACCCTCCCTGCCCCCAAATCCCACTTAGAGGCTGTTGAAGCTGGAACTCAGAAATGGGCAGAATCACAGAAAACTAGAAGACAACGGTATAATAAATGCCTGAAAATAATATGTCGCAGAAAACAGGTCACCTCAGTCAAATGGTACAAATCTTACATGTATATTAAAAACTAGTATTTCATATGACCAAAGCAATGTATATCAAGTCGCCGGCTCATTTATGCCTTCTCTTATAAAATGAATGTCTCCACTTGCGTTGCCGGAAATCTGTTTTCTGTCTTCTGTTCATTTTGTTGTCAGTGGCTTGGAGAAAAACATAATCACTAGTAAAACTGGGAAGTGTCTAATTAAAATAAATTATACAGACTGACCCAAATTGCTCAACAGCATATACATTAAAGTAGTAGTACAGCAGGAGTAAGAGACATATGGATCCTTTTGTTTCAGGTCACTGAGGTGCAGAATTGCGTGCCGTTGAGCAGTAAGCCTTAAAGGCTTAATGAGCATCACTTGGTTGTATGGAAGTAAACATAATTCAGAGTTTAAATGGCAGTGTTGAATAAATGAGTTGGGCAAATGGTGTTGCTATTGGGAGAGAAAAGTTGTAAAGTACAATAGTATTAAAAAGGAGCTATAAATATCTCAAGCTGTTTCCCAACTTTGTGGAACGTGTTAAGTTTTTTGCCACTTCTTAATTTAGGAGTGGTCATCCTGGGTTTCTGTCTAGTCTGCCATGCTTTAGCTGAGAGTAGCTCACTAGCAGCTGTGTAGAGAAGAGCCTGGCAAGCGTGTAGTGATTATTTTCCCACCTTTTATGCCCTGTGGTTCAGAGACGTTTTGAACTTAGCAAAACCTATGAGTGTAGATACAGAAGTGGAAGTTGTTGGTTTTGTGTTATGGTAGCAACAAGTAGGACGATATGTTAAGATGAATATTTAGCCCTCCTCTAAAAGCAAACTTCTTGCATCTCTAGACAAGTCTAAACCAATACTGTTATGAAAGCCAATTAGTGCTTTGAAGTACACATCAGTAGTTTAAGAATGGCATTCTGAATCTCTGCATTTTTTCAGCTGTTGCCAAGGCTGTAAATGTGTATGTAATAAAGATATGTTTTTGTTACAATGGGCAGTTATACCACATCCACATCCCAGTGTTCAGTAAAGCAGAACATTTGCTCAGAAAAGCCTTAAGGGCTCTGCATCAAGGCAGTAATTATCTTATTGTGGAGATTGTTGGCTTTATTTTACCTTTTTTAATAGAGTGGAGAGGTTGTGTGTAATCTTTCATTGGCTGGATTTTCAGTATTTGGTATTATATTGCGGTGTTTCTGTGCCAGACCAAGATACTGAGATCATTAAGAAAGTACTGACTCTGCAGTTGTGCAAAGAGAAGAACAACTGAAACTTAGTGATTTGGGTTTTGTGTGTGTGTGTGTGTGTGTTTTTTTTTTTAAAAAAAAAAAAAAAAGGTTAGCTGGCAGTATCGTGTCAGGTTAACCTCAAGGAAATGGAATTCTTGATGTTGGCTGCCTGGTGGATCAAATTGTGCTGGCAGCTTGACAAGACTGTTCTGTCTCACTTGAACTACTAGTCAGGGTGAGACTTTACAAAATGGCTTGAACCAATTTAATAGCTTCCTGTTACAGGAGGAGATAGTGTGATTCTCTCCTGTTTCCCTGTTGTGCTCCCACTGTTTACTTTGTGCTGGCTCTTGCATTCAAATGAAAAATAGGTGGTAAGCTAACTCAGCTTAAATAGCAGAAGATTAAATTTATCCAAGTTATATTTTTGCCAATTAGGGAGTTGAATGACCCTGTTGTTTAACTAGGTGAGTGTTAAAGCTGGGCTAAGGGAATGAGGAGTTGGGAGGGAAGACCCTCCCCTTTGAGCTGTTGAGATGCAGTTTTATAGCAGGGTTGCGCTGAATTAGTATTCCTGGAAATGGAAGATTGCGACAGCCAGAAGTGTTGTGAAAGTTATAGCATGTTTTCTATCCTTGAGCCTGATCTTCACTGGATGTTCTCTTTTTCTCACAGGTGATAGGTGAAGATTTGGGAATTGGAATTGCAGATTAAACATGCACAAATCAAGTTGAAGGTTTTTGTTCTTGTTCAGTATAAGTCCTGATCGCGCTCCTCAGATATTCTGCTGTATTGCAAAACTTGATTTAAGAAAGTTTAAAAAGTAGAATGTCGTTATAATTGCATGTGTTTGTGTGAGGAATGCATTGCCTGGAAACTGTCCATATATACTTCCATTGGACCTGAAGCTAGTTTTCACCATCTGAAACACGGTAATGATACTGCATTGTTAAATGAGCATATCCTCCTTAATTCAGAAGAGCAAAATAATTTGAGCTTCCATCATTTCATTAGTTTGAGGTTAAGTCCAAAATCTGGAATTCAATTACTTCTACTGCAAACATGTCTGCACATAACCATTGGAACTTGCTAGTCTTGCTGTCAGCTGCTACTCACAGTCAGCTGTCTCTTATAGTAAGTAACCTTGTATTAACTTGGTTGCATTGATTAGATTAAGCACTGAACTTTTTTCCATTGTGTATGTACAAGTGTAAGAATGTCAAGTTATGTATTGTTGATGTAACTTTAAAGTTAATGGCTGAAAGCTCAAATTCCATAATAAATTATAGACCTTTTAAAAAAGCAACACTTGTTTTCTTTACTACGTTTTTGTAAATGGATGCGAGACATTCAACTAGCATAGCACAAAACAAACACCTTTGCTGAAGTGTTGTCTACACAGTAGTTCACATCCTTTCTACCTGTTGCATGTTTTTTCCTGAGTAACCTGTACCTAGGGCAAGTGGGGAAACTTGGGAAAGCGTGGATCAGCTTCCCTCCTAACAAGAAACAATGGCAGAAGATGACAGCAAGTTCAGTAACAAGTTTGAATGTTTTCATCAGCCCACAAAGGTATAAAATGAATGGGATGTTCTGCCAAGTTCCTGAGTGTAGGACTATGTTGCAGAAGTAAGAGACGCTTAAGAAAGAAGTAAGAAATCCTAAGACTGTTCTGATGACTGATCACTAACTATAATTACAGGACTAAGCCAACAGATGGATTTATGTAGGTTAACGGAATTCAAGCAAGTAGCGTGAAGAGCCAGAACTACTAGGCTTTTGCTATAGTATAGTAACCTTCTGCAGCTTTTAAGCAACCTACTTAAAGCTTAAGTTCTTTTAAAGTATTGCTGTAAATGATGATACACCATAACAACTTAATAGAGTAGTAATCAATTGTTTGTTCAAAGCTGTGATAGTAACAAATAGAAGCCCCTCTGAAGCAGGATATCTGTAGAGAGAACATGAATCATCTTAGAGCAGTCAAATGCTGAACTTTCATGACTTCAGCAGATGTGAAGCAGTAGGTTACAAACTTAGCGCTCTATTGACTGTTGCTGTTAATGGTGATTTATAAGCAAGCTTGTCCAGTGTAAGCTCTGCTCCAATTCTAGAAATTCCTTCTTAAATAAATGCTGCTTTAGTTAACTTATACAGCTTCCTCTGATTAAGATGTGTTAAGTCTAAACCTAATCCCTGGGGAGCATGTCTCACAGGACTTTTATGCAGCATAATCTGGTAAGATGAGAGAGTGATGGGATTTTCAATCAGCAATTTAGCCACTTAAATTTCTCGGAAAGATAAATCCAAAAGTAAGTCTTGATCCTGCATCATTGATCTTGCACTTCATGAAAATTTGAGAAGCAGATGCAGCTGTCACTTTTCAAGCAGCATTAAATATAGAACTGATCAGTTCTCCAGCTCTTCAAGTTAAGCACTGAAATTTAAAAGCAAAGTAAACAACAGCAACCATTCTATTATCTACATGAAATAATATTTTAGCACACTTCCAAACTTCTACCTACCTCAGCACCTGCATTCTGACATATGAATGGTATGCTGACCATGTACTTCAGTGAGAAGAGGCGATTTTAATTTTGGTAGCCACAAAGTAGCTTGCATAGGCAGTTGCAAAATGTGACTGTGCTCCTGGACTTGGATTTTTATAGAAGACAGGGGCCAGGTCCTCTTCAGGGGACCATTCTTGCAAGCATGAAACATACCAGCTACTACTGGTATAAAAATCAGTATTCTACAATTGGGTGATCTTGAAAAGAGAACATATTGCTCTGAGCATAGGCAGCTCAACACTTGTTATAAATAAAGATGAGCCCTTAGCTTATTCCCTTACTCACTGAAAACAGCATGCATCATTAGAAGTGGCATTCAGCTTTTAAAAGGTCTCCTTGCAGGAAAGGAAGAGAAAGGATCAAGAAGAAATGAAGTTACTTATCTTGATAGAAATTGACTTAAGCTATTCATGAACTGTTTTGGACACTTAGACAGGGAAAGGCCAGGTAAATACTTAGATTTGATGTGAACTGGCAAACTATCTACATCTCTCTCTGGCAACCAAGCCTGTTAAGGACATGCTGTGTCCAAAAGTTAAGAACATTCTGTGACTACAGGTTAAGTAAGTGCTGCATGCCCTATGCACAGCACTGTATAAGGCCTAACATTTCACAAGCTGAAGCATGCATATCAGAAAAAAACATTTATTGTTTAAATGCATAAAACGCTATTTATAGTGTATTAAGTCAGTCATTCAATCCCATGATTTAAGCTTAAAATATACAATAAAGTGGTACAGAACGTTGATTTTTTTCTTTCTGATGACAAAATGGTTTTATTTTGAAGCTTTTGTCTCTGACGGATTTTCCCCAGTATCTAGTGTCTTCAGCAATCTGAAGAGGCCAGCTGCTTCTCGTATCCGACTGAATTCAATACAGAATGCTTGCACTTCTATAAACAAGTCCTGTACATTAATAATTTTGTTTCTGATTAAAGACTGGAGAAAGACACAAACAAGACGTACCAGGCGGTTCTGAAAAAGAAAAGACACAGTTTCATAATCCAAGTAAGTGCTTGTAAACAATTCAGTCAGTCAGTCAGTTAAAGGACTGTTGACCCCTAGCCAGGCAATCAATACTTATTTCAGGAGTACTTAGTTAGCTACAGCAGTAATCTTCTCAAGATTCCTATGTGCTGCCCCTACTCTTCTACCGCCCGTACTACTACTACTCTATTTTTAAATACACTCCTCTGCTTTATAATACTGCACTTCAGATAGATAGATGGAGAAGCTTTCTCTTAAAATTAATCATCTCATCTCATGCATAAATGACATACCAGCTGTACAAATACAGTTCTTAATTTATTATGCAAACACTGAATAAAGTCCTGAGATAAGGGATCATATTCCAAGACACTGTCATCACTAAGAGCACCCTTCTTAATGTTTATAGAAAATAAGATTAAGTAATACATACACATACACACACACAAAAAGAGCAAGCTTCACATCTCAGAATTACCCAGTCATCAAGCATTTAAGGCATTCCAGCTAGGAAATGACAGCTTCCTAGAAAAGTGCTCTATCAGCAAATTACATTATCCTCTTGCTGAGTCTGAGAAGGAAAGACGGTATCAGAGACCCCCTAATTCAAGGACATGCCTCAGAGCTCATGCTATGAGCTGTAATTCCCTGCCTGGTCCTATGAAAAGATGGGATTTCAGAAAAGTTCCTCCTTCCTAAGGGCTGCTTACCTAACACCTTGCTGAGTAGGCTGGCAGTTGCAAATTCAAGACCTAGGAACTGGCACCTACAATTTGTAATGCGCAGATCCAGTCACTATGCTGTACACAGGGATGCATTTTTCTCTTGCTGTAGCATACTTTGCATTGAGAGAGAGTTGAACCCAAATCTTTCTCTAAGAAACAGCCATACACATGAACAATGGCTATCAGACCAAACTGATTAAACCCGATAGAAGAGTTCAAAGTATTTTATATCATTTTACACTGAAAATTGTGAAGGAGCCAAGGCACCAACTATTTTTAAAAGAACTGAGTTTACAGCTGCAAAATTTGCTACCTATGCTGAGAGAATGCAAAAACCGAGCAAGTTACTTCCTTCACGGCAGTCAAAAGGCATCACAGGTTTTATTTCCAACACCAGAATTAGTTAGAAGAGTAACTTTAATAATTGGAGAGTATGAAACTCAGAACAAAAGTACAAATCCAAGATGCTGGCTGTCTCCTACTCGCTAAGGATCATGGCTGTTTGACTTCCACTAAAAGTGTCTTTCCGAGGCTTCTCGAACAAAACATCTTGTGTTCCAGTTGCTGTGAGACCTCATACATAGCACTGACAAATGTGAGTGCTTTTGGGTTGTTCTCTGTGTTTTGCCATCGTAGTTTAGGCAAAGGCAAGTTGCAACTCACAAGTCTTGCTAGGTATAACTTAAATACTACTTGGCTATCACTGTGCTCCTTGACCCTCTTTTCTTTTTCATCCCTAGTGTGCCTTAAGCACAGCTGCTATGTGCTCACTGGAGTCTGCTTTCTACAGCAGCCCCTTTGAGCACTGGGTCCCGCTGTGTGGACATATACCCAGCTGCAGCCCAGCTCTACAGGTTTTTCCCTATTCTGATACCAAATGATTTGGCACAGCTATTCAGTAAAAGTCACAGACTGAGCCACCCATGCACATCCGCCAGAGTCCCAAAGCAGAGAAGCATCAGCTCAAATGTGCAGCAGCCGCCAAAAATCATCATAGTCATTATCAGGAACAGTACTGAGAACAAGACAGAGGGCATTTTGCTGCTCTTTAAAACCACACTACACCCCGATCTTGAGTGCTGTGTTCAAGTTCGGTCTCTGCAGCTTAAGAATGCAGTACAGCTCGGAAAAAAACCAAAAAAATCTTAAGGGAAAGGAACATCTGCCTCACAAGAGGCTACAGAGGCTCTAAGCCTTCATCAGTATGGCAAGGAAAAAGCCTGCAATTGGTCAAGGTTTGGGTAAACTGGATGTGGAACTGTTTTTCACCAAATCCGGGAATACAGGGCATACTGGGCACTTGGCGAAACTAGCAGATTGGTTTAAGATGGAAGGGAGTATCTCACACAGCGTGTAGAGGACCTTGTGCCAAAGTTGTGGAAATCTCCTCAGGTGGGTAAAGATCCATGGAGTAGGCACAACTTTTATGCTGGTATTAAGGAAGGAATTAAAGCAGGCTTGGGAAGCAGCAGCTATGGTATTAGGACAGTAGGAGAGAATGGATTTTAGGTCTTTGAGTTCTGCAAGCTGCTGTGGGTCAGTAATAGGCATGATCGAAGGGGAAAAATCCCATGCGAGTTTTATAACCATTTCAAAGGTTCAGAAGTGGTGGGCATGCTTAGGGAGAAAAAAAAATGGAAGCTTGAAAATAAGAAAAAAGCAAACATTTAATGGGGGGGGGAGGGGGAGTGAAGGCATAGTGAGTGACAGATAAGCCTCTTGCATGTAAGGATCTGAGTCACATAGAACTGCAGTTTTGCCAGGGACAAGTATATGATGTTTACAGGAGAACGAAAAAAAAACCACCTCACACAGTAATTATATGTGAAGCCTTGTAAAAAAGGTGAAGAAACGCACAAAATGTGTGATAAACACTGAAGAACTGTGGACTGCATTAGGAAAAAAATTAGCCTTTGAAATAAAGCAGTAAGGCAAAATAATTTAATGGTATCAGCCTTATAAACTCTCAGCACATACTACACAGAGCAAGAGATGGGACCCTTTTTCCTAACTAA